AAATAGCTTTACTACAATGGCTGGCTGGGAACATTTGACAGCTACGGGGCTGTGAGATGAAGAGGTAAAAGAGTGTTTATTTCAGTCTCTTTCCACACACACACACACAAAAAAAGCTTTGAAGACAGGATGTAATAGCCACTCTCTTCCTGGCAGGGTATTTATGGGGAAGATGCTTGGAGCAACTTGAAAAAGATCCTGACACATACCCGTGCGTTCATGGAGGGGAAGGAGGCATAAAGCGTCACATTATGAGAAAGCAAAGCGTGCTCATCAGCTCCAGCAAACACACAACCTCTGCTGGGATTTATCAGGCCCGGAAGAAATGAAGGATGCTTGCTGAATGGGTACTTCCTGATAATCTCTTGCTGCTTCATCACAGAGCTCAGGTGTACGGAAGTGCTTCTGCTGTGTAATAACAAAGGCCGATGATTCACAGTCAAACATACACACACTGCCTCAGCTTATCAAAACTGACAGGAGAAACCGTGTGTGGACAAAAAGGATTATTTTTAAAATGTGCACTGAATATTATCCAAGTTCATCCTGAAAACACTTTAATGTAGACGAATGCCTGTTGGTTTGTTGCTTTCCAAAGACTGTTTATGCCAGTGGTCCCCAAACTTTTGGGCATCAGGGACCAGTTCTGTGAAGAGAAGTTTTTCCATGTTTCATGTGCTGCCTGCATCTCGCAGATGGGGCTTTGCTTGTTTGAGCGGACCAGTTTCTGCCATGCTATGGACCGGGGGTTGGAGACCCCTGGTTTATGCTATATGGGTAAAGTTTTTTGGTAGGATTTAATATCTTTAAGTTTAAACAATTTTTTTTATTTATTTAGTGAATTTTGATTAACAAACATTGCCAAATAGCTAAAATAATATAAATTCAAGATGCATAAAGGGGCAAAAAAGATACAGAAAATGAAAAAAAAATCTACTAAAAATAAGTAGAGACAAAGTGCTGTACTTCCAGGGGAAATGCCACCTTTCTGGTAGTATCTATGGGAGCCTTTATTATTATTAAAAGGTTGAAAATTTTGTAAAATCACCAAATCTCATGACACTTCGCTGTTCTTGTCTTAAATCTCATGACATTTCAAATGATACTGGCAACCTTTTGTGAACTCTCTAGACATTTTATTTTGGTGTTCATACTACACATCTGCAGCAATCTCACAGACTTTTAATAGGCTCCTGAATATAGTCTGAAAACAATTGTTCTGGTCAAAGATAAAGAAAGAAAAGGTAAAACAAAATGAAGTTGTTTTTCATGCTGTGAGACACAGAATTCAGGCAACCACCACCATATTACTAACTACTTTGAACAGGCTTGAGCTATATTATAGAAAAGGTAGCCATCAAGCTTTTTATTTTTCCATTCTCAGTGAGGGGGCTGCTTTGCAGTTCCAGATGAATGCTCCAAAGCAACAAGGGGAATATTGCCAAGTACCGTTTGACAAAGGAAAAGAGCAGAATTCCCTTTAATGTCACTTAGGGGCAAACTTCAGAAATGAAAGAACTACATTACTTTCTCCACACTAATGTTAATTCCCTGACCTTATTTCTTGCCACAATTTTAGTTCTGAGGGTATCTTGCTCACCCCCAAAAATGGCTTAAAAGGCTGAGAAACCACCTTAGTTCCTCCATAATCTTCTGGGAAGTCAACGTGACATTTCCTGAAAGCCACTGTAAATAGTCCTTTAGGAAAAAGTTCACTGAGGCACACATGGCTTAGCTCAGGAAGAAGGCAGTAACAATAAAGCCAGTTTGCGTAAAGGACAATCTTACTGTACCTTGGCCATTTCCTTTGAGGGCTTCTGCCTGTTTTCAAAACAATGAAGCTTCTATAGAAAACTTCAGGATGATTCTTTAATAGTCATGGATGAATGTCCACTTAAAAAAAAACCCACTTCCAAAAAACCCCGCCCCCCTGCCCCCTTCCCCCCCACACAAAAAATAACCAGACCGGAAAAATTGTCTTCCTTATTTTTCTTTTTTTAGAATTATTTGTATTTATTTATACACAAATTCCTTAAGCAATCAGAACTCAGGAAGCTAAGCTTGCAAAGATTGGGTATAATGTGTCACCTTCCAAGATCGACAGGATAACATAATTAAGACTTACTGTTGTTGCAATCTTATTGTGGCCACCTCACTATTTAGAGATTTCGTAAAGTAACTTTACTCTAGGCAAAGGATATATTTTGTCTAGGCTCAGAGAACATAGATTTTAAAAAAATACAAAAGAACTTTATGAGAGTAAAAGTCTCTGCAGAAAATAATTACAACAAATCCAACAGGCCTAAACAGAAACCAGCTCAGACATAACAAATCGACCCGCAACCCTAGGGAGCAATGTGTTAATCGGAATTTCAGAAGAAGCCCAAGTTAGAGAGGCCAGCTCATAAATTTAACACAATAGTTTTAATTCTACTTTCTCTTTTGCCAATGCTTTGCCTTCTAACTGGGAAACTAAAAATATAGGTAACTACTTTCTATATAAGAGACCAATGTCTATTTCCTTCTGTCCCTCTGTGTCTCCTACTTCCCTTTGTTGTTCTTTCTCCTATTGTTTTAACCTCATTCTCACTCCATGTTAACATTTGCAGACTTTTCTCTGTCTTTTTGTGTTCCTCACCTCAAACTTTTTTTGGTAATACCAATATTTCTTTTTTCTTAAATTTAGATCCATTAAACTTAACAGTCACTATTTACAGGCAATGATCACAGGCCACAGAGATTATATGTTCTGCCGAGTTACATCTTTCCCATTAATTCCAGGCTGATCCAACTTGAACTCTCAATTATGGATCCTTGCTGGGGACTACTTTATCCTTGGCAAACAGGAAAATGAACAGAAGATTTTGTATGACACCCAAGCTTAAAGGGTACTGAAACCTGCTATGCTAAAAACAATTTTGAAAAGCTAAGAAGCTTAAGATTTTGTATTTCACAACATTCATCTGTTTTTCCTTTGCTTATTTTGTTTGGCAATGTTTATTACAAGGTCAGAAGTAATTCAGAATGAGCACTCAGTAGTCAATACTTTTAAGTTTTTTTTTAAATGTAACATGGGTTATTGCCCCATTCAAGCTTTGTTTAAATGTACTAAGATTTCTAGTTTATGAGCAAGTGTCAACATTTATGTTGATTGTATTTATTTATATTTCTCTAGACTGCTCATTTCCCTCAAGTTTAGCATAGAAAATGAGAAGTTCATTAGAAATATCTGCTAGGTATACCTCCAATGAACATATTTAATAAACATATCAAAGGAGGGAACGATGTAGAGGTAGGAATTCTTTCCAACATCTTTATAGTGGCAGTCATAGGAGGTGTCTGTATTTTCTTCAGTAAAATAAAGTACAGTTAGTCCCCAATCTAAAACTATTTGTTAAGTGACAGTTCAAAGTTACTTCTCTGAAAAAAGTTCACATTTACAATTGTTACAGCATCCTATAGTCACGTGATCAAAAACTGGATGCTTGGCAACTGGCATGGATTTATGATGGCTGCAATGTCCCAGGATTATGTGATCAACTTTTGTGACCTCCTGATAAGCAATGTCAATGGGAAAGCCAGATTCACTTCACAGCTGTATCAAGAAAGGTTGCAAGATGGTGCAAAATTCACTTAACAACCGTCTTGTTTAGCAATGGAAAGTTTGGGCTCAGTTATCGTCGTATGTTGAGGACCACCTGTGTCTTTTCTCTCTTTCTGTGTGTTTGAGGACAGGTGTGTATGTGTGGCTCCTAGGTTTTGACTCTTTCCTTGGGTTGAGTCTGACAGGCTGCAAATGTGACACTGTGTCACCTAAAAATTGGGGACAGAAATAAGCAGTCAGCAGAATTCCAAAATGCCACATAACTCGATTGGGAATTGTTTTTCACATCCCCTGGACAAGTCAAGCCAGTTTCATACAAAACCTTTCTTTTGTTGGCTTCCCCTTGCAAATCTGGTTGCATTTTGTTCTGTTTTCAGAGAGTTATTCTGCTGATGGACAGGTAGAGAGCCTTTAGCATATTTGATTTCTAACTCTGGGTTGAAAAGAATAAAAAGAGTAAGACACTTTTGTGGAAAAAGCTTTTACAAGGCATGGTAATGATACAGCTGCAGCCGGACATCTGGAAGAAAGCAAAGCCCTTCCCTTCCCCTTCATGGTCCTGGGAGAAACTCAGTCTAATGGGATGGACAGGTCTGCAAGCATTGTGAGTTAGGTGCCAATACATCTGGAGATCTGAGCAGAACTGCAAAAGCAATTAGCCCACCCACCTTTCTGCTGTTTTTAAAAGAGAAAACTGTGAAGACCAGAGACCAATATGTGGGTGCCTAATTGCTCTTAATTCAAAAATCATATTCAACCCCATCATATAATGTAAAGCCAATGCTTTAAAAACACCAGTTAGCAGTTCTGTTCCCAGCCCTAAAAACATTACAATTTACAGCTCGAGACATGTAAAAAGGACTGAGAAAGAGGAAGGGGACCAAACAGAAATTTTCGTGTGGTTATTAGGACTAGTCGTATGAAATAAATGTTAGTTTGAGTAGCAGAGACCATTAGTGTTGTGTCCAGAAACATTTTCATTCATGTTTCATTTTTAAAGGATAAGCATTGTAGGACATAACAACAAGAACGTGTATACCTGAGATTCAAATTACCTATTTACTACCTTCCTGAACAACTACTACAATCCTGTTCCAATATTTGTATTAAAAGACTGATTGGATTGCAGTTAGAAAGTAATTCATAAGCAACTGGGTTCCCCCCCCCCCATGTCAATTTCTCCTTTCCTGAGAAATAACTCATTTTAGATACAATCTATGCATCCTCTCCCATTTGAGATTCCACTGCGTTTTGGAAGCAACTGCCTGATTTTAAGCTGCATTTATCTTTGGTCAGCATGTCAGCATCCACCTGTATGCCCAGTAATATGTGAGCAAATTCAAAGGTTAATGAAGCGATATCTGACTTCTCCATGATTCAGGGAGAATGTTCTTACCACTGTGAGGTAAAATCAACAAATTCAGCTGAAAACTTGTCTGCAGGGAGCTGTGGTGACGGTTCTTCCACTACCTGTTTGAGCTGCTGGAACGGCGTCCCCCAGGAATCATATGGAAACCGCAAGATTGCTAATTCAATCTAGGTCCAAAAACAAAAGACAGGGAGACATCAAGACGTCTTCCAGTGACTGTTCTCTCCCTCCCTGTCCCTCTGTCTCCCCAAAGTAAACTATGAAAAGGCCACTACCATAAAGACATGCAAGCTCAATCCAATGTTGTTGCATGCTGCCACCTTCAGGCTGAGAGCTGAAATTACAACTTCGTTCTTTTTTCTGATTTCTGCCAGAGGCTGTGCTTTTCTCCCCCTCCCGCGCTTCCATTTTCCCTTGGAAACACTGGGCTCATTTGGTGCCTCTGAGGCACAGCCTGTGCAAGTCTCTGGAGACAGCATGTCTCTGGGAATATTTCAAGGCTGCAGCTCTGAAATATATGAGGCAAGTTCTTCGGGTTTGTGCCATGTACCCACAGCTTCTCCAGAAGACACAAGCATGCCAGCGGAGAGGCTGGTTTTCTCTCTCTGCCCAGCCTACGAGGGCTCTGTTGCAACAAAGGGGGACTAATCATTCCCAAGAGAATCATTCTGACTTGCTAGCAGAAACCTTAATGTTCATCCCGAATGCGTATTTCTCCCCTGCGAGCCTGGTGCCAATGGAATAAGCTTTGTGATGGATGGTTGCTATAGGGCATTTTTTTTTTCTGTTTGCAGACACACAACCCACGTATGTTGCTGCCTGGCTTTTCAATATTCATCGCAAGCAATGCAGAACTGTGGCTGAGGATGACAGCTGGGCCTGCTAAGATTCTTCCATTTCTGAAGAAAGTATAAAAAGCCCAATCTAAATTTAAATGGATAAACTCTCTGCCAACCACATGGACCAACTGGGGGCTAGTTTATAAATTATGCTGCCAGTGTTGTAGCTAACTAATGTAGTGCTCTGTAAATTCTGGCTCTGAAAAGATTTGCTTTTTTCTTTCTTTCTTTCTTCTGACCAGGCTTCCCTGAACTGTTTCATGAGGGTGATGCAAAATAAAATCTGGCTTTTGCCCAGAAAATCAAATCATTTTGCAAAACAAAAAAAAACCAATAAGAGGGGGGGAAGGAAGGAAGGAAGGAAGGAAGGAAGGAAGGAAGGAAGGAAGGAAGGAAGGAAGGAAGGAAGGAAGGAGGGGAGGCCACCTCTTGAAATCAATTAAAGAGTACAACTCAGGCAGGTGCCCAAAACACAAACAAGACAAGCAAAATAAAAGCAAGCTAAACATCGTCTTTCTATATGCAGCTTAATTCAAAGAGTTACGGGAAGAGGGGGAATGGGTCTGAAACTAATCAGGTACTCTTTCATCAGTCAATCAATAAGAGCCAGTCAGGATGCTTTCTAAAAGGATGTTTGCTTATCTCCACTGACATTCTTTGGAAGGGTGTAAAAAACTGGGGATTCACTCTAGTGTGACCCTAAAGGAATTCAGAGCTGTCTTTGAGGAAATCATGAGAGGCGGAACAAGGCAGGACCAAATCAGGAGAGACGGAGAAACCTGGACAAGAGATTATACAGTTCACAGATAGAAGGAAGTATGAGAAAGAAGTTCAAAATAAACCCACCTTGATTTTGTTACATATAAAATGGGAGTCAGAAAAGAGATTTTCAAGATTCTATGGTACCGTTCAACAATAAAGCAGCATTCCTTGAACCCCTACTGCAAGGGTGTCAAATCGATCAAGTCACGTAACATATCATGAGGTATCATGACGTTTTGTGCCTTTACGGAGCCGGAGTGGGCGTGGCCTGCGGTTGACGCATCTGGCCTGTGGGCTTCCAGTTTGACAGGCCCGCTACTGTGTCTCTTTCTTCTTGAAGAAGTTTCCCTTTGTCTCATTTTATACTCAATGAAGTCAAGGCAAGGTTTACCTTGAGTTTCTTTCTCACAAGTTCTCCTTTTTGGGGACTGTGTAAGCTCTTAGAAGGTCAGGTCCCTCTTTAAAAGTTCACTCTTTTTCTCCCCTTAATGGCTCTCTCATCCCTTCTCCAAGGTCAGCTCTAAATTCCTTTACAATGACTTGCCAACAGAACACAATCAATTCACTCAAAAATCTTCCATGCAATTTCTGATTTCCCCCTTTTTTGAACCAGTACGTTTAGGCTAAAGGCGTCCTTAATTTAAATCCAGTTAAACCCATTTCAGATTACAAGGATTCTGAGTTGCAAAAGTCAGAAGAATAGAGTAAGTAATAAAATCAATCCCAGCATCATTTCTCAGTAATGTATTCTTACCATTGTAATCCCCAGACTCCAAATATCAGATTTTACACTGTATCCCTTTTGGTTTAGTTCTGGGTTGATTCTTTCAGGCTTGAATGGGGAGTAAAAGAGAGAGAGAGAGAAAGAAAATTAAAGTGATATATAGTTAGTTTTAAGTGTTCACTCGGGGAATGGAAAAGTGTTCGACTTCTGCTATGAGAAACGTAACATATACACAGGCCAAACTGTTATTAGATCAACTTAAACTGGGCCTGGGTCTATACAATATGCTTTGAGTCAAAGGCAAAGTAGCCAAATTGTATTATAACCTAGTAAGGAACAGCACAGGAGAGAGTTCGTTTTACAACAGCTAGGTTAATTACAAACAGCAATCCCTTTCCAGGATACAAGAACACAAACCATGCCCACACATGTCTAACTGGCCAATGTAACGAAGCCAGTCAAAAATAGGGTACTTCCAAAACCCTGATTAATCAGTTTTCAAAAAGAAGTTGAAGTTAAAGTGCAACTTTGCACCGCAGGCTACTTCCCCACACCATTATGTTTGTTTCTTAAACCAACTTCAATCTGGATTGCAGTAAATTGGTAACATGGATGGCCTAGTGTTCAGCTTAAGATTGTGGCACCACTAGAATTGATTGGGCTTTCTTCTGCTTCTTGCCCATGCCATCCATGCAGGAAAAGTATACCTTGCTTGGCTGGGTTCAGTGTGGACTGGTCTACAAATGCCTGCCTTTGCTCCCCCCAAAGTTTGCACATTCAGCCATTCCCATGTTACCTTTAACATTAACAAAGGCATTGGTTTTTTCCCCTTACGCTACAATAATCAAAGCAATAGGGAGGTCTGTTAAAACCTTACAGCAAAGAATAATTGCTAATAATAAACTCAGAAACAAAATTAATAATGTACCTTTGCAACTTAAAGGTTGTTTTAAAAATAAAGCAAAGGGAAACTCTGCGGGACTGTGTGCAGGATTGGGAAAGCAAAAGGTGTATACCCAGTATATGCCCTGTTAAGGCAAAATCTGAAAGGATGCCCACTGGGAGATGTAAGAGTTGAAGGGATCATGTGGATAATGCATTGAGGCGCAGGCCATTATTCAATCAACTGAAAAACGATTAAGGAAAAAGCAAGCCACCAGCACCTGCCAATCAAAACAGAAGATGGTTGTCCAGGGCAATGATCGAGTACTGGAAGGTAGTGGGCATGCCAGCTGCTGTAGCCAGTGAGAACTGGAGCTGCTACTGAAATGGAATACAGCAGGGGTGTCAAACTCTAAAGTGCTTAGATCAGGCCCACTGGGCTGGCCTGAAAATAGCAAAGAACCAGCCTGCGGTGCCTCTGCTAGCGAAAATGGGCAACCCCTGTGCACCCCTTTTTAGGCCTGGATGGCCTCCTACGGCAACCGTTTTGGCCGGCAGGGTGCTGCAGGAGGCCAGCCGGCCCGCCTCCCCACAGCCAACCCACAGAGGACAACTACAATCTGGCCCTCAAGAAATCCAGTTTGACACCCCCTAGAATAAAGCACGGAGATCATTATCTCTCAACAGCCTAAGTCAGGTAAGGTTTTTTTAAAAACAGTAGTTTTTTTATTGCAACTAGAAGAAAAAGGCATGAGGTGTATTTGTAATTGGCTGACAATGGGAGGAGGATATCATTTGTTCCTAGGCTTGGGAAGTTGTGATTGGTCCATACTGGTAATGAGCCAATGGGAAAGTGCAGTTTAAAGAATGGCACTTTAAGGTCTCATGATAGTATTCATCGAGGGAATCCCGGCAATCAGGGAACATGCCTCCTTGGCACTGATTGGTCAAAAGGACCTCTAAGACATGCCCACTGATGTTTGACTTGACAATGTAATGAAGCTTGTTACATGATTCTTGGGAGGAAGGGAGCTGTGGTGGCGCAGTGGTTGGAATGTTGTGTAGCAGACTAACTCTGCCACTGCCAAGAGTTCAATCCTGATCAGTTGACTCAGCCTTCCATCCTTCTGAGGTTGGTAAAATGTGGAGCCAGATTGTTGGGGGCAATGTGTTGACATTTGTAAGCTGCTCAGAGAATGTGGTAAAGCACTGTGGAGCAGTATGTAAGTCTAAGCACTATCGCTATCAGATACCACGAAGAAGCAGATAAGATCTTGCATTCCCCCAACACATGATTTTTTTTACCAGTTAAGCTGATGCTGTGGCTGCCAGAATGACTGGTACAAAACAATGACTGGCGTAGTGGGTGACTAGGTAAAATGTTTTGTGAACAAAGCTTGAGATAATGATCATCATAAGCTAATAAATATTCAGGAGATTGTTTGATAAAAACAGATGGAAGGTCTTCCATCATCTGCAAAAATATCTGCCTCTTCACCACTTTATGGGAAAGTCATTAAGAGAAAGTAAACTAAGTCACCACTCTTAAGAAATTCCAGGAGGTAAAAGTTCTGTAGGATCCGTTCTTGAAATTTTTGTATCTTACACAAATTAGTTTCAGTTCAATAAATCTAATTAACAAAGCTGTGTGAGAATCTTGCTTTTGGTTTGAGAAGCTGGTGCCAATCTTAACAAAACACGTAGCACAACTCCCATCCTATACGTTCTCCAGGTTGAGGGTATCTCCAAAAAAACAGGGAACCAAAAAACACTATTGTCTTCCTAAATGGGATAGCATGCAGGCTTTTCGAAGCCAATAATCACATCTTGCTAGTAGAAAAAAGGCAGCAGCTCCTCAAAGGAGAAGAAATCACAGATGGCAGCCAAAACAGTGTTAATATTCCAAAGCCCGGCAGGCTTCGTAAATTTCTCAGCAGAGCATCCTCCCTGACAGGTTTATGCATTTTGCTTAATTGTGATGGAGAAGATCCTTGCAGATTTGCCTGTAATCCTGGTAAGTTTATTATAGTATTAAGATGGCATGACCACCCATGCACGACCTTTAGAAGGCAGCCAAGACAGTGACAAATTCATTTCTGCTCCATTCACAATTGGCTCAGTGTATGCAAGATGGAAGAATTCCAGCCAAAGGCACAGGAATCTATTGGCAAATGTAGGAAAGTGTGTGTATTTCTACAAGAAATGAACTGGATGCGTTTAATATTAAGGTGTTGGGAGGGAAGTTCTTAAGAACATAGAAAAAAATCAAGACGACTTACAAAACAATATTTAATTACTTTCATCTAAACTACAGCTTAGTCAGATCAGACTGCTTCCCTGTTTCTTCAGACAAGTTTGTGGATTATACAGCTTGCTTGTTCTCAAGGAATATGAGGTTCTCCAAGTTTGCTCTTCGCTCAAAAAATTATTTGGATATACTTGTTCAACTTTGAATTGTACTTAATATCTGAGTCTTATGACACTCTCAGACAGATTTTTTACTAAGGTGTTCAAGACAGTTTACTTCCAATTAAGTATGCATTTAAGGTGGCACATATGCTGTATCTCATTTTCATTTTATAGTATCAGGTTTTAACCATTTTTGGCTGACCTTAATTGCCAGAGTAGAAGCTGTAAGTCCCCGTGTGAACTGTTAATGTACATACCTAACTCCAGACATTCCCTTCAGGAAGGCTGAGAAAGTGCTGCACCACTGCTCAAAGGCACTATTGCATTGTACTGCAACAGAATCTAACACGCCTCATCTGAGCTAGTCTAACTTGACATACGGTTGGTGGGGGTGCATACTGTAAATGTTAAACACTCTTTGGGGTTTTAAAAGTACACGGAGCACTATGACACAGTGGAGCACAGCAATTGCTCTCCCTGTGTTCAAGGGTCTCCAAAGGAAAGGCCAAGAGTTCCAAAACAACTGTTTCACTGCCCCCGAAAAGCAAAGGCTGGGGCATATGTCAGCTTGTCTGCGCATAGTCGAAGTTCTCATTCTGGTTTGAGTAATACAGTGAATTATTCTTTCTGCTTAAAGTGAACATGTGTATGTGGCTCCTTATCTCCAGTGTTCTTTCTACAGCAGCTTCTATCTGGGTCTATCATCTAATCCTAGAGAGATACTTACAATATTGACTTGAATGTGAAACCGGTAAGTCCTATGGCTGGATGTATGACAGGAAAGCAGCACACCAGCCAGCCACAATAGTTTATCATGTTTTGCAAAATCTATGTCTACGGTGGTTCCGAATAATAACAAGTCCTCTTCCTAGTTTTGAAGACTGGGAATTGACAGTTCCAAGTAATCCCTTCCTGTGTTTCCAAATTTCAGTTCTAGTATGAAAATTGGTTAGGAGGGCATGGGACCGAAATTAGTGGTGATATCTTGGTTTTTTCGCAGTATACATTTAGACATTCATTGTAGAAGAATTCAAGCTAATCATAACTAGTTGTAACTTATTTTAATATTACAAGCTGCAGAAAACCATATTCTGAAATATGTCATTATGAATTTGGACAACATTGCTGGTTGGAAATGGGCATCAGGAAGCCACATTCTCTAAAGTCATCTTGTGAGTCTCTATTTCAGATCCTCCCATTGACAGAATGAGGTAGGTTCTGTTCTGAGACACAATCTTTTCAGTCATGGCACCTTAGAGCAAAACAGCTACTCTAAAACATTGCTTCATTTTACAAGACAAGCCCGAAGTCATTCTAACAGGTTTTCACCAAGCCAAATCTTTAGACCTTTATTTTCTACTGATATTTCTGCTGTTTCTATGGTGTTTTCTTGCTGTTCAGATGCAAAGCAACCTTGAATACATTAGAAATGTAGAATACATATGTTCATACATACATAATCCCTTTTTTAAATGACCCTGTAATCTCTTAATTCAGGGTAGAGTCGGGGTAACTGAATAAAGCTGAACGTTTACTGGCCAGATGCCCTTCCTGATGCCTTATGGAGTCTGCAGCAGTTTTTCTTTGCACCCCAAAAAACAGGTACCACTACCTAGAATTGAATTCTCAACCTTCTGAGTGGGAGGTGAACATCTTCACCACTACGCCATCATGCCACTCACACAGAGACATAGATACACACACACACACACATACACACACACACACAAACAAACACAGGTCACGAAGAGTTGGGCATGACTTAGTGACTGAACAATGCAAACACATAGTGTGTGTGTATACATCTGAAATTTAATAAAACAAAGCAAATACGTCACTGTGTGCACAAAAAGTGATGTGACACAGTTCGCCCTGAAGGCTTCACGATTCACTGCACTTACTGCCATATACGGTTTGCAGCCAGCATCCATTGTCTTAGCCACAGAATCAACGAGATACCCACTAATTCCAAAGTCACACATTTTCACCTGTCCTTGTGTATTTATCAGTACATTGGAAGGCTTGACATCTGCAAAATAAATTACAGTGGAAAGTCATTGCTTGCAAGCATTCCTTTATTTTTTTTCTCTTGTTGCACATTATGGTAAAAAGGGAAGCAGGCTAAAACATAGGTTGTCACCAGCAGAGGGCACCCAAAGCAATACACTGTTTATTTGTTGGCTTAAAATAAAAGGATCTATACACAAAATGCACACACACATGGAGAGGCAAATATGTTTTTCCATAGATTGTAGTCTGGCATTTATTCCAACCAATAATTCTGCTATTAATTTATACTGAGGAAACAGCTAATGGAGTTCAAACAGAAGGGCAAATACTTTTAGCTGTGGTTTATTTAATCAGGATGAAAACCCTAGAAATTGGCACTGAGAAGACGTACTTTCTTTCAAAGTTTCTTCTTTCCGTGGAGTAAAATGAAACATGGTTAAATGTTGATACTTAACTTATTTGATTGATCGATTTATTCCTTGCCTTGCACTCAAGCGCTCAAGGTGGCACCCATAACAGTCACTTGTACTCCCACCCACCCAAAGAACCCTGTGAAGCAGATTGGGCCGAGACATCAGCCCAAAGTCTAAGTGCTATTGCTATATAAACATCATGAACATGCTTGAGGCCTCCTTCTCTACAACACTGGTTTGCTTAACATGACGTAAGCACTCATTTGAGATCTTAAACTACCCATTCTGGATTCACCATCTGTTACAGCATTCAGACGGCAGGTGTGAGTAAGTATTTTTGCTATAGTTTAAAGCAATATATGAAAAATGTCCAGCACTGTCTTATTGTGAAAACAGACAAACGGGATCTCTAATTAGCACTAAGGCACAGGATAATTTCACAGAGCTTTGAGGTGAAAACTGGCTCTTGATCTGATAGTTACCCGTTCTTCAAGCTACTGCAATGAAAATCTCTGTCCTGGATGTCTATGAAATGCAGCAGTGAGGCAGGATTTCCAGTCAAAATCCAGAGCAGGGGTCGCCAATCTTTGGGACCTCAGAGACTACCAAACTCATAATTTTAAATCCTGCAGACCAGAGATCTTGGGAAAATCCCACAAGGAAGTCTGCAGGAAAATTCGCCACCCCGTTTCCTATCAATCGGCCATTCTTTATTTGGGAACACAGAATACCATCTCCAGCTCAGTTCTTGCGGGGAGGGAGGGAGAGACTTTTGGCTTCATGCAAGGAAAGCAGCAGAAGCAACTGAAGTCTTTCTTTTTCTCCCCCAAACTCCACCAGAAATGAGTCTTTGTCACGCCGGTGCAGCCTCTTGGAGCAGGATGTTTTGCAGGGTTCCAAAGACTCGTTTCTGGTGAAGTTTGGGGGAGAGAAAGAAAGACTTTTGCTGCTTTCCTTGCGTGCAGCCAAAAGCAGAAGAAAGAAGCAGCCCAGTGGCCAGGCCAGGCGCGTAGGGTGAGTGGGGCAAGTTCCCCCCCTCCCCCTTCCCCTCGCTACCTTGTGTTGTTCGCAATGCAAGCGACGCAAGCCTTGTATTCCCACGGGCCATGTGGACGGTGCAGCCTTGTGTTCCCACACAGCCTGGATTAATTGCTTTGGGGGTTGCTTTGGGAGTGACATTTCTCTGTGGACCACCAAAATTTTCTCATGGACCACCAGTGGTCCCCGGCCCACTGCTTGGCGACCACTGATCCAGAGGACAGCATGTAGCATTTCAGTTGTATTACTGATTGCTCAAAGCACATGAACCAATTTGTCCCCTAAATCAGAAGAAACTTGGCCTGACTTTAGTTGCTCTCTATAGCCCAATCCCTGTTACGGAAGAAAGTCCCCTTTATCCGTAGACAAGCCTCTCTGCGATAAAACACTACAGACAAGCAAGAAGGCTGTGAAGACATGGTTCTGTGAGCGGGCCTGGGGAACCCAGAGTGGGATGGAGTCCATTAAATGGCTGGCATAAGTATGTATTGTCGCCAGGGTAGGGTTTTTCGTTTTTTTAATTTTGTGTTTTTATCTCCTGTAAGCCGCCTTGAGTCACCATGAGTAGCAATAGCACTTAAACTTATATACCACTTCACAGTGCTTTTACAGCCCTCTTTAAGTGGTTTACAGAGTCAGCCAATTGCCCCCTAACAATCTGGATCCTCATTTTATCGACCTTGGAAGGATGGAAGGCTGAGTCCACCTTGAACCACTCAGAATCGAACTCCTGAGTGTCAGCAGTGAGTTACCTGCAGTACTGCATTCTAACCAGTGCACCACCAACGAGTAGGTGGCAATATATATTTTTTTAAAATAAATAAATTAAATAAAGGTAAAAAACCCTTATTCCAAATGATGTAATACAACGTAGTCAACCTTAGAACAGGGGTGTCAAACTCGCATCGTCATGTTGTTGTCACGTAATGTATCGTGACTTTTTCCTCCCTTGGGCTGGGCATGGACAGCGCATGACACATCTGGCCTGCGTGCCGTGGGTTTGACATCCCTGCCTTAGTATAATAGCGTGGCATTCCACTGTCTATCCAAAGGTGTTAGGTGGAAAAAAAATATCTGGGAAAACAGGAAGCCATTATTAAGCAAAAGCACTGCTGTCCAGTGTTCTTGGGCTGCAGTGACATCCCCATAGGGAAGGGGGGCCAAGTCAAAATGTTTGGCTGGGGGTTTTCTTTATTGTTCACTTTGGACCCAGGGTAGTTAAATGAAAGATTTTGCTTCTTTAAAACAAACAAAAATCATGGCTTTTCAGAGGTGAATGTCGATGGCAAGATCCAAGCAGCATTGGAAGTCAACTGGGAAAAATAAAGGGAGGAGAGAGGAGGAAGAAACCATTAGCTGTGGGTCCTGGATTAAATGACCCAGATCTTTGATCAAAAAGCTCTGCCCCACTCTTTCACAGCTAAGAAATATGTGAGAGAATTGACGTACCAATTTCGTGCTTGCTTACCTCGGTGAATTACAGAGAGTTTACTATGTAGGTGTTCTAATGCTTTTACAATCTGAAACACACAACAGAGAGAATGAGCTGTAGCTGCTGAAGCAGAAATGGTTATTTTCAGGGCACAAGTTCAAATCCCCCCCCCTTTTTTTTTTCAACACTTTACCTCAGGTAGAGACAGTCTGGGGTTGGGCGTCTTGGTAATTAACCAGCAGAAGAATGCTGAGCCCGCAGTCTAATACCAATGTAATAAAACATGATTCATGCAGCGTGGCCAAGCTAAAGGTTGATATAATGAGCCCTTTTTTCAAGGGTCGAACTCTACCCATCCTTTCTGCATCTTGATGGGGGGAATATTTTTTGATTAAAATTCCAGCCATCTCCCAATGAATAAAATATTTTTACAGCAAGGATCCGTTTGATTATTTTTCTCCTGCAAAGAATTGGGGGGATGTTGGTATGTTGGTTATCAGGCAGGATGCACCTCCTATTGTCAGTTACCTTTCTGTACAGGTAGTCCTCAACTTACAACAGTTTGCTTAGTGACCGCTCAAAATTACAACGGCATTGAAAAAAAGTGACTTATGACCATTTTTCACACTTACGACCATTGCAGCATCCCTATGGTCACCTGATCAAAATTCAGCCGCGGGGCAACTAACTCATCTTTATGACGGTTTGCGGGGTCCCGGGGTCATGTGACCAACTTTTGCAACCTTCTGACAAGCAAAGTCAATGAGGAAACCAGATTCACTTAACAGCCATGTTATTAATTTAACAACCAGAGCAATTCACTTAACAACTGTGGCAAGAAAAGTCATAAAATGGGGCAAAACAACTTAACCAATTTCTCACTTAGCAACATAAATTTTAGGCTCAATTGTGGTCATAAATTGAGGACTACCTATATAAACACAAAAAATGTCAAAAGGTTGAACAGGTTTTTGTTGCACCTAAGTTGGTCCTGACCTTCTCCTTTCATGAGAATAGTTTCTTCCCCATTAACAAAAATACTGCCACCACTTCCATCAATGCATTTCCAGGAAGCTTTTAAAGGAAAGATAAGCTATAGGATAATTCTGTGCACCAGCTTTTACTACAAGCCATTTTCAAATGTTTTTTTCCCTTTTAAATTGAGGCAGATTGTCTGTGAACTAGCATAGCAGATCAGGCTGCACCCAGAACCTTTCTCCTGCCTCAAGGGTTTAAGAAGCTGCAGACTGCAGACAGATAGACTAGTAAAACCAAATAATTACATTTCCCTCCGTGTTCCTTAGAGGCATGAGGAAAGAAATGGAGGAAATCTACCTCTGTGATTGACAGCTCTGGCTTCCAACCTACAGCTTTCTCTTCGCCCTCACTTATAGCCCCAGTGTTTTGGAAAAGGTATAAGAACCTCAACTGCAATTCACTAAGCAAAACATAAATACAATCCTTTTTTATGTTTGTTTGTTTGTTTGTTTGTTTGGGGTTTTTACTTTTACAAAACAAATAGGAATGCCTTCATATTTCATAAAACTCTGCCCCAAAATATACAAATTATAAACAATCTTTTTTTAAAAAAAAAAAGTTTCAGAATATCAAGGTATTTAATGCAGAAACTCTTCTATTGTTTATCTAACCCTGGGCAGACAATTTTCTGTACAAGTACTCTGCCTTGGATTTGAACTAAAATGGTTCATGTGTGAAGCAGGCAAAGTAAGGCCCAAATCAAATTTTATCTTCAATATCTAGCCTACTAATTAAAAGAAACAATCCTTTAAAAAGCACTGTACACGTGATCCCCATTTAATAACAACAGCAACTGGGACTGCCAAAACTGCTGTTGCTAAGCAGTGTAGTCACATTGTTGTTGGGTTTTTTTTTTCCTGACTTACAACCACACTGATGTAAAATCATTTTTGGAAGAGAATTACAATTTTTAAAAAGTAGAGCACTTACAGAGACAGCTATTTTCCCTAGGATATCCTCAGGAATTGTTAAACCCCTGTCAATCACTTGCTTGTAGAATTTGTCCAGTGAGGTATCCATCAATTCCATACAAATCCACACATCCCCCTAGACAAATGGGAGTTGGTGAAAGGGGAAACACATTAATGATTATGAGTTTTGACCAGTTTCTATCACCAAAACATGTCCTTACCAAAACACACATGCATTGCCTCCAAAGCTTTCTTGTCGACTTATGTCAAATTTTTAATAAGGCCGTCTACTGCACACCGCCGTCTTTAGAGCAGGCCTGTCAAACTGGCGGCCTATGGGCCGGATATGTCACAGCGCAGGCCACGCCTACCATGGCTCCGCAAAGGCAAAAAAATGTCATGATACATCACGATCCAGCCCGTGACACAATCGAGTTTGACACCGTGCTTTAGAGTGACCTGTGGATGCTGGAATATGTTAGAAGGTTCCTTTCCTATTGTGTGGAATGTGAACTCTTTAGATTGACTGATTGATTGATGGAAGCAATGAGCAATAGAAGTGTGGGGGAAAGCACCATAAATTAGATAATGCTACAAAGAGAAAATAAATCATTTACAAGCTGCTTGTCAGATTAAAAACTCTGTTTGATTAATAAAATTCAACCAGAGAGAGGTCTACCTTTTAAACCACGGATTTGATTGTTTCTGAAGAGGATGAAAGGAAGAAAGTTCTGCTGGCCATTTTTTGTTCTTGTTGTTAGGATTTTGCTATTTTAAAAATCTAGCATCGTAGTCTGGTACACTAAAACAGCTATAACTAATGCAGCCCAACAAAGGTCTTTCAGATTTGCCAAGAGCATAACTCTTCGTTAGTGAGATGATTTGGGATTACACATCCTTCCAAAACCTCTTCTGCTATTTTTCATTGTGGGACGAAAACACATATTATTCTCCACTGAGCTTTTCATCTTCTAGGTCAAATGAAAATTTTGTTTTCAGAACCTTTTGTCCATGCCTGGTTTGGGGTTTTTTTTGTGTGTGTGTATATTGAAGATACTTTGTATCAACTGAATTGTCTCCTGGGGTTTTACCGTAACAACTGGTTGTGCGCAATTTGCAAATGATTTAAAGAGCTTGGGGCTTTATTTGACCACCACAAGCTCTCTGCCAGTTATTAAAGCAGTCCATCTTTTTTCACAAGAAGGTACAAGCCAAGCCCCCTTATGAATAATCTTTAGCAATTACAGACTGAAGTATTTTGGTTTGTTGTAAGGCATATTAAATAACAGGATAGGATGGAGTTTGAGTAACTGAAATCCATGCATTATTTGGTTTCAGACTCAATCAGTGGTCAAATGAAGGACAAACCAAGGAATAGCCCAGCAGGTTGCCCACTCCGAGGCTAAATGACCATCCAGCTAATCTAGTATAATTTTCTATGTCCTGGATAAAAGCATGCTCTTAAATCCTACCTCTCGAAATAGCGCACCATAGAACGTGACAGTGAAATGACAGTCTACGGTTCTCATAGAAATGTCCAAGTCCATCAATAGTCTCTTCTGTTCCTGGCTATTCACGGTTGCTCTGATGCGCTGGAAAACAAGAGCCAGTTTACATGTTCACTCTTCCTATTCTTAATCATGGATGCTTTTATCAGACAACAACCTGGCTGTCAAAATGACAACATTCCCTCAAAGAGATCTTTACCAGAGGTAAATCTTCTCTTCCTGATCTTACTGGATGGGCAGAATCAACCAAAGAGAGACTTCCAGACATGTCCAGGCCATTAGCCCTGTAGCTGCTTAAAGATAACTATCTTTTGAATCACACCACAGAATTAACTGGCACTCATTGCTGTTTCCACAGCAGTAGCATTACGCTGGTAGACCTAGGAGTTTGGTTCTTTTATCAAACAAATTTAACCAGTTATTTTTCTAGAGGCTCATCTCTTTTACTGCAGGACAAGGAGAAACTAATACCTGGTGGCCCACCCATCAGAAGCAGGAAGCCTTCAAATTAGGTTAGTTTAAAGGTGGCAGCCACAAATGTTCAAGCCAGCTAACATTGTGGCTCGGGAGTCTTTAATCCCCAAGTCCCAGCATCCTTTGACAAAACTCAAGTGTTTTTATGGCCTTAAATAAGAAGGCTGCAGTCCTCGGCACACTTACCTGGTGGTGGTGGGGGAGAGTAACTTCTTTAAAATCCAGTATAACTTATTACTGAGTGCATAAACATAGGCTACAAATGCCCCATAACAGACACTCCAATATGAAGCTTTTTTTAAAGCCTCTTTGTGCCTTTGTGAAATGGGGATGATAACACTTACCTACCTCACAGGCGTAATTTATGTCTGGGGAGCACTGTGAGATCCTCGGATGTGAGGTGCTATAGAAGGGCAAAGGATGATCGTTATTACTTAAGTGCTTGTCTGACTTTTTCCCCCCTCTCTGTTTATTCATTTTTGCTTTCTTGGGTCTTCTATCATTAACAAGGCAACAATGGCAGAGCACACTGGGATAAGAGATACCAGAAAAAGAGCACCAGGGTTTAGGAACACATTCTTCACCTGCCCCAATCCAATACAGCTCTTTGCATGAATGGCAGCTTTGATGCACTCAGCCAGGATTCTACCATTCATTTTTATGTGTAGGATTAGCTATTGAATTCTTGCTATCCATGTCTTGATTGAGTGGGCTCTCATACTTCTCCAGTCTCTGTGTTCACTGGAGACAAGCAGGTCTTTGTGAACTTCAGTATCTTCCTTTAGGCATTGGTTATCTCAACAAGCTAAACTATGATTTGACTCTCTAGTTTGATATTACCAAAATATTAAGGGATTATGGTTTAGCAGTAACTTGAATTCGATAATATATTTGTATCAGGCTAGTTGTCAAAACAGGTGGAATCTGTGACCAATGTAATTGATAGGCAGTTTGGCACTCCATAGAAAATTTATATTTCATGTTATTGTAATTGCTTTAAAAGCAAGTTCTAGTCTGTTCCCCAAGGCATACCTTACCATTTTCACAGCTTTTAGAAAGGAAACAAGCAAGTCATAATCAATTATATATTGTATGCTAATCACTTTCAGTAGAATCTGCCATCAATATATGCAAGAAATTCTTTTTAAGTGTTTTAATTCAGTGGAACAATGTTTCTTGCTCTTTCTGTTTTAAATTTTCATATTAAAAATATTGTTTATCTTTATTCAGATGACAATTAATCCCAAAATGTTAATAGGGATCATCAACTGACAACTTTATTAACAAAGTACAAAAAGTCATATATTTATGAGCTTTTATGAAATGTAGCTTGCTAGTACTTGGTATGAACATAATCATTATTATTGCATGGGATGACATTATCTAATGACATGATCTGTATGTGTGATTACCTACCATGAATTCATATTAAAGCAAAAAGCACACTGATGTTCAATTACTGTAATGATATTCAATGGTTATAATATCCAAAGTAAATTCTGAGTATTATTGAATGTGAGGCTTTAACTACGTAATTTTAAATATATGATTGTAAAGACATATTACAAAGATGTGAACTAAGTAGAAGTTCTAAGTCAGTCGGATATTTTTTCTTTTTGCAAATAAAATCCTGTTCTGATCCCCGTCACTGGAACGGGACAAAAATGTGGCGCATGGAGGCTGAAAATGGGATGCATAGGCCAAAAATGGGGCACACAGAGTGGCGATAGGTGACGGCAATCCCTGCAGCCTGAAACAACTGATCGTTGGGAGGCCAATCCAACTGACAATTAGCTCCTTGTGCTAATCAGGCTGTGCTGAAGCAGTCTTGTTTGCTGCAAGGAGGCAAATTGCTCGGAGGCAGAGGCCAAAGGGTGAGGGCTGAAGGGTGAGCGGAGCTTTGGAAACATTCACTATATAAGACCCACAGACATTTCCACCTACTTTTTTTTTGGGGGGGGGGGGGTGCATCTTATACACTGAAAAATACGGTATATGTCAATTGGTAAGGAAAAGAACCACAATTAATTCCTAAAGGCCATTCCCAAGTGACAATCAATTCCAAAAGGGAGAAAGAATATAAAGGAACATTTGATTTTTAAATATGGAAGCAGGATTTATGGAACATAATGCAGATACTGGATCAAATTTTATGAATGACTGCATGTGTATAGATCTAGACAACTTACGATTCACCAATGTACAAATGGGCCAGTGTCTGTTTATTTGGAGCTTTCAAAACTGAATGAAATTTGACCATTACACTTTGGCCTAATCCCATCCACCTTGCTGTTTCAAAATCCTAAAGAAAAACTGGGGCAAATTTGGACGGTTAATGCACAACAAGAGAGACTCTTACTCTACCTTCACTGCCATTATTTGCCCGCTGGGCATATGTCGCATCATCTCTACCACCCCATATGCACCACGTCCTAATTCTGATATTGGCTCCAGGTCATCAGCTTTAACTTCAAAGTTCTGTGAAGAAATAAAGCCAAGAAAACAAAAAAAGAAGAAGTTAAAAGGCAGATCTTCATTCCAATTCAGCCAAAGCAGGTAATCTGTTTAACTGTCCAGTTTCTTGGACATGGTTTCTCTAAAGGGAAATTAAAATTAAACATTTGATTTTCACACATTAAATAATTTTGCTTTTGTGAGCCTCATCTTTTGCACAGTTTTTTTTTATCTTTCACTAGATTAGACAAGTGGTTTGCAGAAGAGATATTCTCTCTTTGGAATCAAAAGAATAGTAGTTCCCTCTTCCATTCTCCAGATCATTTCAGATGTATTCAGCGCCAGATTTCACCACAGGTGAGAGATGCAGGCAGGGGTGTGTGTGTGTGGACAAGCTCTCTGGATTATGGGCAGATATGTGGATGTTGTGGGGGCAGAGGGAGGTATCACAGGCAAGGTCCAGGCAGGCACTGCAAAGTACACATGGGTATAAAAGCAATAGGAACATTTTGATTTCTCAAAGGCTTTCCCACTGATTTTGCTTATAGGAAGCCATCAGAAAACATTGAAAAACACAGTCATTTGCTCGTGGCTTGCTGTAATGTCATAATTGCAAGGTGGGCACTGAGCACCCAAACTGAGATAATTTTGCTGTGGTGACACTGGAAAAGTCAGAGCTCTGAGGACCATTTTAAGTCCCCACCACAATCATCACCATTGTAACTATGAATGGTTGCTGAACAAGTGTTTATCTATATTGATGCTCTTAAAAGAAAGTAATTCAATGCCTGTTAAAGCACCCTACATCATTTGTTAAAAGTTAAAGCTTTTTGAATGCTGAATTAAACAGGTAAAGGATATAATCAATAAAAATGTAAATAACAAAGAAATAAAATTACATACAGAGAGAGAAGATAGACACACATACACAAACACATTTCTACTGCATTCATCCCTATTCACTTCTTCATTAATTTCCATCTTAGTTCTCCCAATAAGCACACAAGCAGACCTGCCCAGCCCACCATATTTTATCTTCACCATACCTTGTCTCCAATATTAATGCAAGCTTTGGAATCCAAATCTCTAGGTGGCCTGTGAAATTAAGAAAAGTAAAATCAAAAAATAATTTCATTTGCGCTTAAATTCATACCTATGAACACCTGTATAGAAAAATGCATTAATCTACTTAGAGAAGAAATGCTGATTTGGAACGATGTTTTAAAAAAATATTAAGAGAGTTTGGAAATTAATACATTTTAAAATTGTATACTTGGAAAATACTGCTCGTTTAAGAAACTATTACTTGTGTATGTGAATTTCCAGTTAAGTAATTTTTAAAATATGAATCTAAGTTTAGGAGTTAACAATAATTAGCTATCACAAGAAATTTTGTATCTATCTCAAGTTTTTTAAAGTATTTTAAATTAACATATAATGATCAATAAAACACTGCACATTTTTTAATGTAAGAACTTTTTAAAAATAGAAGCAGCAACAATGATAAAAAGGCAGCAACTGTTTTATTCAAAGGACCCCCAAGAATAGTTTGTGAACAGGCATAAATATATATTTTAAGCCTAAGAAAATATGTTAAGTGTTAAACACTTACTTAATCAATCTCTTCCATTCTTTATATTATAGGTAAATTACTTTGCTGATCAGTTAAAAAAATAGAAACTGAGGCAATTTTTAAATATTCTTCACAATTCTGCTTGGTGGTTAGAAATTTAAAATTAACAAAATTCTCAAAATGGAGAAAACCCTACAGGACATCTAGGCTGGGAGGCTAGTAGAGAAGTCCAAGTTCCTAGAGGAAACTTGCAACCTAGAAGACCTGAGGGCAAGACAAGATAACGGATGGAAACTTATCAAAGAGAGGTCCAACCTACAATTAAGGAAAACATTTCCTGTCAATGAAAACAATCAGTGGAACAGCTTGTCTTCAGAAATTATGACTGGACATCCACTTGTCTGAAATGGTTTAGGGTCCCATGCTTGAGCAGGTGGTTGGTCCTCCAAGATCCCTTCTGTTATTATGTATTACATTTCCTCTGATTTCTTTACAATGCAAAAATCCATAGTGTGCTATAGTGTGTTACATTCTGACTTGACACCAGATCTAAAATGAACTTCAGAAGTTCTAGTGTCCAATTCCCATTTAATTATCTATATTATTAATACTATGCCTCTCTTCCATGCAAAGTAACCATTCCTCTAACTGCACCAAATATCTCTGGATCATTTCAATGGACAGCAGTTGTCTTTTCATTTGCTTCCCCTGAGCTCTTGTAGTAAGGTAAAGGTTTCCTTGTCCACTCATGTCCAACTCTAAGATGCGGTACTCATCACTTTTCTTGGCCGAGAGAGCCAACATTGCCTGAAGACATTTTTTATGGTCATGTGGCCAGCATGGCTATACACAGAAGATTTATGGAATGCCATTACCTTCACACCAAAGTGGTACCTGTTATTCTACTCACATTTGCATGTTTTCAAACTGCTAGGTGGGCTGTCAACTTTCCAGCTGACAAGCTCAGCATCTTTAACCACTGAGCCATCATGCCCCTGCGCTCCTATAGTACTGTGGTTAAAAGAATAAATAATTCCTCTAAATGATGAATTCCTTAAAATTCCTTCCTTTTACTCACCACAAAAAAATCCACATATTATGTTTGGCCTTGATTTCTTAAATACAGCTGAAGTTAGGGTTCATTGTGACTCCTTTCTGCTAACCCTCTGTTTTATTTTAATTGTGTGCCTAGAGAGATGTACTGTAAATCTTCAATTTTGCTCATTTAATCTGATCTGATGAATTACACAGAGAAGTAAGCTTACCGGGAAAATACCTTATTTATCTTGCATTATACCTTATTTATCTTGCAAATACCTTATTTATCTTGTATTATCTATGACAGAAATAGCTCCAAGTAACCTGAGCACTGATGAATGTCATAAATCCCATCTTTTACAAAGGACCAGCAATGTTTCTTTTTAAAAGGGCTCCTGCTTAAGTCAACTACAACTTAACACAGAAAAATCAGAAGATCTTAATGAATGAAGGGAATATATGTGTCCCAGGATAATGAGGCAGGATCCAATCTGGGTCGGTCACCAGGACCATTGTCTTTCACACCAGACTGCAAGACCATAAGTGAGTGGTCAAACAAGGACACCTGAACTCATTGTTAGCCTCACATTGCAATGAACAAGGACACACATTCAACTTTGCAGCAATCAAGATTGTTGGATGAGCAGGCACAAAAACAGCCAGGGAAGTGATTGAAGCCTGGGAAACAGGCCCCTCATAAGTCAATAGGAGTGCCGATTTACCACAAGCCTATCAAGTACTTAGAAGGCGAGGGCTGGGCAGCATAAGCAAACAACAGCTAATGACTTAAAAGCCAGCCATCAACACATCCCAATCAACATCAAAAAAGCCATTTACAACAGGCACTATAAATACCACACACAGAACAGCACACACTCTGCTGGAGAGAAGTTCCCTGAAGATGGGTTCTAGCATAAGTGCTTTCTGGTCTGACACAGATTGGATCCTGCAGAAGATGTTAATCTGAATTCCTCGACGTAATCCAGTCCCTATGCCCATGAACTTTCAACTTCTGATGTCAACAGAAACTTGCTTACTGTATTTCAAAATTCAAATAGGTTATTTCCTTTTCTTAAATTGTTCTTTTAAAAAAGGGCTGCTTAAATAACTCAGGACTCCTAAATAGCAATATAGTACTGAAAATTTATTCGCTGTCTGTTTTAAATGGCTTCCCTCATATAACATTAGAATAGTTTTAACCTCCATGAATATTTCAGTGCTAAATTTTGATACTGGGGTAAATATGAAAAAGCTATCAATCATCATTACTCCCTATCCAGTTCCCAATCTGCAGCAGTTAATAATGTGAAGTGGGGGAAATATTGTGTCATAATAATGTGCAAATACCAGTCACATTATATGAGGGACTAATAAATGACAGCCTGCACACACATGCATACATTCATACATATATGCAGAGACAGCTTGTGCCAGTAGCCTTTATGTGTTAGGATAATAGATTAGGATTAATAAACTGGGAAGGTTAAAGACCCACTTTCCCAATCTTTCCTGATTTATTAATGTTGATATTGATTTTATTTAGTGCCTTATATCTGCAAGATGTATTGATTATAGTGCAGAAAACTAGGGCAGTGAGTGTTAGCTTCTGGTCAGAAAGGACACTGTCACTGAAACACAAACATTTTTAAAAAATTAGACTGTTAGGGGCTATCATAACAAGAAGAAGCAAGAAGCAAGAGGGTAGAAACAAGCAACAGACTCTTGTGATGGGCTACATCAAATAACCAGAAATGTAACATGTAAACATGGGAACAGTGCAACTATACATATGACACCTTATTGACAGTGGAAGCTCCTGTAAATCTGCATCTTTATCAGAGAGTTATTTTTACATAGACTTCATAAATAATCCTGTCTAGCTCAATTTATCCATTGATCATTCTACAGTAGCTTTAAACCTTCCCCATTAACTGGTAACTTCTTCCCTACCATGGGCCTATTCAATGTCTGCTGGTGAGACATAGCCACACCTGAGTTGCTATTAATTTCCAGACATTGGTCAATGATATAGGTATGGCCAACTGAAAGCTAAAACAAGGAGAAGAGAAATAGTTCTGTTTTAGGAAATTGGTCACAAGGGAACATTCAGGCTTAAGAAGTCCTTCTATTGATTGATAGAGCAAGCATCAGGTTCTTGGTGGAGACTGTACTTCTGTTGGTGTTTTGGATGCATTGTTATTGATTGAAAGAAGAGGGAAGCGGGGGAGAAAAGCAAATACAGCCTGCACCCATAATGCAATGCGTGTGTAACCCCTCCACACTCCCCAAGCCCCAGCACATGTGCGTGTGACCTCCACGTGTGCAACCCTGCGCATGCGCGCACGTCCACCTCATACGCCCCACACATGCGCGGCAGACACCCGACAATTTGGCTGGCGGGAAGCGTGTACACATGCACAGTGGAACTGAGCTGGGGCGACAGCTTCTGTGCCGGCAAAGACGGCTCTCAAGCCACTTCCGGCACACGTGCCACAGGTTCGCCATCACGGTTATAAAACAGAGCTCCTATTTGAAAGGAAATACAGCAGACATAGTCAAGAGCAAGTGGGGGAAAAGGTTGTTATCCTAGGTGACTGCTAAATTAGAAAGGAACAACAGCTTAACACAATTCAATGAAGTACATCTCTGTGTTATCCAACAAATTGGTCAAGGTATCCTCAAGTAATCATTAATCCAGCAAATGTCAAGGCTCCAAGTCCCTCTCCATGACCCTGTACACTAGGCAAACATTATCTTTTTCCTGGAAGCAGTGCAAACTTCGAAGCTAACAGTTACGGAAGACATAACGCAAACCCACAAAACAAGAGACAAAATGGCAAAGAGAAGCTTGGTTTTCCTCCTGGTGATTGTTGCAGATCAAGCAAGAAAATGTTGCCTGACATTTTCATCTACGTCACAGCCTCCAAATGAATGAAAACTCCACAACTGAAGAGTCGAAAAGTTCAAGCAGTGAGCTTGTTAGAATGCAATGTGAAAGTAATCCAAGAACTGTTACTTGAATATGACAGTTTAATGATCCCAATATCCTAAAATGCAATGCAAAAGCTATCACTCACCAACTGTGCTGTGATTTTACAGACACACCCACACTTAAAAGGATATCTCTCTGTAAATTATTTTGTGCTGCATTTTAACCTACCAGTTGGCTTATTTAAAAAAAAACAAAAATCAATACTGATAAAGGAGAATATTTGTAGCTCAGGGTTGAAATGAGGGGAGAGCACCAAGGGACCCTTCAAAAGGATATATGTACTAGATATATAATTATATATAGATTTGTAAACCATTTACAGCTAAAATGATGTATTATATCTTTTAAAAATACTTCTCATATATTTTTTCTTTTCTTTGACAATACATATTTGTATGCCTATATTTTTACTTTTCAGGGTTTTTCTGTCATTATTTTAAAAGTAGTAAAATAATAAATTTTAACAAAAAGCAAGGTCTCTTCCAGGCAGATCTGTCCCTTACAGCTTTCTATTTTCTCTACAGGCATAAATTTCTATGGAGCTTCCCGCTCATTGTTGTCCCAAAGGTGCTTTTTCAAGAGGCAACTAAACTTTCTGGTTTTTCTTTGAAGGCATTTTGCTTCTCATCCAAGAAACTTCTTCCAGAGCTGAAGCAGCTTCTTGGATGAGAAGCGAAACGTCTTTAAAAAAAAGCCAGAAAGTCTAATTGCCTCTTGAAAAAGTACCGTTGGGACAGGCATAAATGTTAAGTTCGAGAGGACCTTGAAAGCATGTAAGAACTCTGGGGAAGTGCTGTCCCATTCTGAGAGAAAGATAATTTCTAACATGTGAAACCCCCCACCCCCACCCCAGTCAGTCCTCAGTAAGTTTATGGTTGCTATGAACCCCCATGCTACTTCTGAATCCACACCTAAAGAAGGCAAACTGATGTCCCCAATGCCTTAAGTTCTGGAGACTTTATTGCCAAACTGACCACAGTATCAAGCAGCTCAGGTAGGATAGCCCCTTTGTAGCAGGAAGTTCTGATACAGTAGTCGCAGTCCTAGTTGATTTCTAGAGCTCAACTTCATGAGCAAGATCTCATATCCGGTTTCTGCAAAGCAGTAGCCCCAGAAACCACTGGAGTCCCTTCAAATGACAATCGCAACGCCACTGCTGTACTTCAGAGATGCCTAACAAACGAAACATTGATGGGCATATTTCCAAGAGGCGCAATCCATCTCTGCCCCATGTCCTGCAAGGTTCACATAATACAAGCAAGAACTAGACCCATGGTGGCGCAGTGGTTAGAAAGCAGTACTGCAGGCTACTTCTGCTGACTGCAGGCTGTTTGCAGTTCAGCAGTTTGATTCTGACCGGCTCAAGGTTGACTCAGCCTTCCATCCTTCCGAGGTAAATAAAATGAGGACCCAGATTGTAGGAGGCAATAGGCTGACTCTGTAAACCGCTTAGAGAGGGCTGCAAAGCACTGTGAAGCAGTATGTAAGTCTAAGTCCTATTGCTAGATTGTAAGTGAGGGAAACTTTATTACAAGCCAAGCATGTATTCAGAACCAACAACTGGAAACTAGGGCAATTAGGTCTGATGGCCAGGCACTGGGACAGACAGAACATGGCAACACCTAACTGTACAGCTCCAACTGGCCCTTCACCAAACACAGGAGACAGGCAACTTCGCCTACTGGATTATCCAGAGGTTCACTCCAAACAATTCTTAATCCGCTGATTCCTGAAACTTTGAACAGACCTGAAAAACTTCCATCCAGTTATCAAACCTCTGCCACCTCTACAAATTTCCAGCAACCTACAGTATAATAAGCCCTTAACTCCTGTGAGCCTGTCCTAAAGACATAGGACAGGCTCATAGGAGTTAAGGGCTTATTAATATCTTTTCCAGATCTCAGTATCACAGTCCAGCTTTTGCAGGGAACACCACCTGGCTGGTTATTAATTCTGTGCAACATAAGCCCACTGAATTAGCACATACCTCCTTAATTTTCATCAAAGGTCCTCTCTGCTCTCACTTTTAATCAAACATAGCACTTGCAACAAAGGAGAACTGATAAGCCACTCCAGCAGTCACCCTTCAGATCTGTTAAAATCTGATGAAACTCATGGAATGAAGAGGGGGATTGAGGTTGAACTACTCCAGCTCCCACCCTAATCACCCCCATAACAATATTAAGTTATACATACGTGGAGCTTGTCTGTGGTTGTTCAAATGCTTCTTTAGGGATTTTCAAACCTGGATTTTTCTTTTTGCCTGAGAAATTGAAAAAAAAATGCATTAATTTGTTTTATTAAGGTTTAGCCTCATCTTGCAAAGTCTGCCATAGACATCACTACTTTTCTTGAGGAATACTTGAGAGTGCAAGGTTCAGCATATAAAAAGTCCTTTGCTGAAACTTATTTTCTGCCTCAATAAGTCCTAATATATTTAGGAATCTATCTGAGTATTCTCAGTACTGTATTAAGGATGGCAAAATGATCCACCATAACCCATCATTTTTTATTAACACTCAGTAGAAATACAAGCCTTAAAATTATCTGGAGAGAATGAGACCCTGATAGATGATGCATGTGGAAAACCTGAAAAGCCAAATGGCAAGTCTTCAAAGAAAAGAGCTTTTGTGCAGAGCCTTTTTAATACACTGCTCAAAAAAATAAAGGGAACACAAAGATAAGACATCCTAGATCTGAATGAATGAAATATTCTTATTAAATACTTTGTTCATTACATAGTTGAATGTGCTGAAAACAAAATCACATAAAAATTATCATGGAAATCAAATTTAGCAACCCATGGAGGTCTGGATTTGGAGTTACACTCAAAATTAAAGTGGAAAAAAACACTACAGGCTGATACAACTTTGATGTAATGTCCTTAAAACAAGTCAAAATGAGGCTCAGTAGTGTGTGTGGCCTCTACGTGCCTGTATGACCTCCATACAACACCAGGGCATGCTCCTGATAAGATGGCAGATGGTCTCCTGAGGGATCTCCTCCCACACCTGGACTAAAGCATCCCCCAACTCCTGGATGGTCTGTGGTGCAATGCTGCATTGGAGGGAGCGAGACATGATGTCCCAAATGTGCTCAACTGGATTCAGGTCAGAGGAACGGGCGGGCCAGTCCATAGCATCAATGCCTTTGTCTTGCAGGAACTGCTGACACACTCCAGCCACATGAGGTCTAGCATTGTCATGCATTCGGAGGAACCCAGGACCAATTGCACCAGCATATGGTCTCACAAGGGGTCTGAGGATCTCATCTCGGTACCTAATGGCAGTCAGGCTACCCCTGGCGAGCACATGGAGGGCTGTGTGGCCCCCTAAAGAAATGCCATCCCACACCATTACTGACCCACTGCCAAACCGGTCATGCTGGAGGATGTTGCAGGCAGCAGAACGTTCTCCATGGTATCTCTAGACCCTGTCACGTCTACATGTGCTCAGTGTGAACCTGCTTTCATCTGTGAAGAGCACAGGGCGCCAGTGGTGAATTTGCCAATCTTGGTGTTCTCTGGCAAATGCCAAACGTCCTGCATGGTGTTGGGCTGTAAGCACAACCCCCACCTGTGGACATCGGACCCTCATACCACCCTCATGGAGTCTGTTTCTGACCGCTTGAGCACATTTGTGGCCTGCTGGAGGTCATTTTGCAGGGCTCTGGCAGTGCTTCTCCTGCCCCTCCTTGCACAAAGGCGGAGGTAGCGGTCCCGATGCTGGGTTGTTGCCCTCCTACGGCTTCCTCCATGTCTCCTGATGTACTGGCCTGTCTCCTGGTAGTGCCTCCATGTTCTGGACACTACGCTGACAGACACAGCAAACGTTCTTGCCACAGCTCACATTGATGTGCCATCCTGGATGAGCTGCACTACCTGAGCCACTTGTGTGGGTTATAGACTCCGTCTCATGCTACCACTAGAGTGCAAGTACCACCAGCATTCAAAAGTGACCGAACCATCAGCCAGAAAGCATAGGAACTGAGAAGTGGTCTGTGGTCACCACCTGCAGAACCACTCCTTTATTGGGGATGTCTTGCTAACTGCCTATGCTTTCCACCTATTGTCTTTTCCATTTGCACAACAGCATGTGTAATTGATTGTCAATCAGTGTTGCTACCTAAGTGGACAGTTTGATTTCACAGAAGTGTGATTGACTTGGAGTTACATTGTGTTGTTTAAGTGTTCCCTTTATTTTTTTTTGAGCAGTGTAGCTTGGAATCTCTCACCCTGACTCTTCTTGACTCTAATGTACGGTATTTTAACATCTAGGATGCCACAAAGGAACCAAATTACACATTTTATTTAAAATTGCATGAATGAAATTTATTCCTAGCACAAAAATTGAAAGCTTTATTAGTCCAAGATTGGTTGGCTTGCACGGAAAGTGTGAGGCTCTAATAGTATTCATGTTAATGCTTCCATGAGTCTATTTTACTCAAATAGCGTGAAAAGAAACTACTAGGAGATTCCCAATTACTTTAAATTTGAACATAGATAGCCAACAAGATAAACAAGGCAATTTCAGCAAGCAAAGTATCAAAAACTCTTTTTACATCCTGCTATGATTCTAAAGGTAGGAAGAAGAACAATTTAATTGGTTGATCATTGAAAGATCCGTAGCCACCAGTTTGGACACCTGTGCCTTCATCATTTTAAATATGATGACAGGCTTCCTTCTGTGACAGTAAGAATAATATTAAAGGCACAACATGCAAATTCTGCTGAGTAACCCAACAGGCAATGGCAAAACCAATATCTGATCCTATCAGTTAAATAACTTAGTTTCTTGGTGAAGTCTAAGAAGAAGCTCTTACTCTGCTGTTGCCCCTGCCTTATGGAACATCTTTGCCCCAGGATGTTGGCTCCCAACTCCCTTGGTCTTCCAGAAGAGCATGAAGACTTGGCTCTAACAACTCACATGGGGATCAAAAACTATCACATATCACTGAGGGTGGTTGGTACATTGAAAGCACTCACTCCGTATTTTCACTTGCTTTTTAACTTTTGTTTTTCTTTGTTCCTGCTCTTTCTTTTAAGTCTATTTTTTATTGTTATTTTATTGATTTTCTATTAAATACATTTCTTAGTGCTTAATAAACATCATGTTGTCCATTATTTACTTAATGATGCAAATTACATTCTTAATCTCCACCCCCTTTTTTCCAGCCATTGGTAAAATAAATTCCATGTTTGATAGTATTCTGCATCCTCTTTCTGTTTAATTTTCAATGTCAATCTATTTCTGCACAATCTAGTATCTTCTTAACTATTTCTTCATCTTGTGGTATAATCTTCATTTTTCCAATATTGTGCGAAAATAACCCTAGCTGCTGTTAAGACATGTAATATTAAATACATACTTTTCTTATCAAGTTTTTCTGATATTATACCTGGTAAAAACAGTTCAGGTTTGAAATCTACATGTTTCCCTATCATGTTTTAAGTCTATTCTTCTTTAAGCCTTCCCTTTCCAGCTGCCTTTTACTTTTCCCCTAATAACTCTTGCATATCTTTGTCAAGCTTACATTCCTTTGCACAACAAAAGGGTTAAAATGCAAGAATAGTTCTTGACTTATAACCATAAATTGATGTTCCTAAATTATTAACTTAATAATTATTAAGTTATAAAGTATGTTTTGCCCTATATTACAATCTTTCTTGCCACCTGTTCTTAAGTGAATCACTACAGTTCTTAAGTTAGTAACACACTTAAGTGAATCTGGCTTCGCCCTATTGGCTTTGCTTGTCAAAAGGTCACAAAAGTTGATCACATGACCCCAGGACACTGCAACTGTCATAAATAATGCCCAGTTGCCAAGCGTCTGAATTTTGATCACTTTACTGTGGGCATACTGCAATGATCCTTAGTGTGAAAACAATCATAAATCGCTTTTTTTCAGCACCATTGTAACTTTGAACAGTCATTAAATGAATGGTTGTAAGTCAAGGACTATCTGTAATAAAACAATGGATTACAGTACAAAATAATAACCAAAGGTGCAAGAAAAGATCAAGACCAAGAGAGAGTACCATGAGCAAAATATCCAAGCTGAGCCAGGCAAGGGGGTTCTAATTTATACTACACTCCCTCCACAGGGCTTTCTTAGTAAGCCACGTTCTAACTTCTATTCTGAAAATACAAATTGAGGGCTAGTCTGATCTAGAATAACAAGCTTTTTCTAAGTATAGGCAAATCTGTTTTTTCTATTACTGGTGTTCTGGTAGCAGCTATCAGAGTTCCATTAATTAGCAGTGAAGTTACACAGTACTAAATGATTAAAACATTAATTTGGGTGTACTAGACCAACTGGGTAACTATCTTAGAAGAGCAGTAATCATGGTTTTACTGACTGTGGCTTTGAAGGGGGAATAATAGGAACTATTTGAGAAGTGCTATCTATGCAACTGGGCCACTCTCTTCTAACAGCTTTGGGGAACATACTTAAAATGCCAACAATGATTGTCAGGGCTATTTCTTCTTAATATTTAGTTTACTGTGCTGTTTCTAATATTATAGTATCTCAAACGGTTTAGAATACATAAAACGCACCAGAAAAAGAATGAACTGTTAAAAACATGCACAGGAAGGAGAGGAAAATGAAAACAAAACAAAACTGATCAGGGCTTCACCCTGAGTGTGGCAATAAATCACTTTCAAGAAACACAAACACACGTGCAGGAGCTTAGCTGTAGAAGATTCAAGGCCGTGGCTCAGCTTCCCACAGATAAGTTTGCTTGTTTGTTTTTTTTAGACAGACGTGGGAGAAACTCTTCTAATGATGATCAGTCATTGGAAAATCTGAGAATCTAACCATATTTATACACCAGTTCAAGAGTATAAACTCTACGTCTTATTCATAAGTGAAAGTCCACTTATTTCTCAGCTCTGGAGGCTAAGAGCACCTGCAGTGTCTTAACAACAATGTCTTTTTTGCACTTTAGCCAGCTTCAACCTCCCTGGGTTCCATGTTACAGGTATTCCTTGAGCTTACCACAATTGCATCCAAAATGTCCATTGATGAGCAAGACAGCTGTTAAGTGAACTTTGCTCCATTTTGTGACCTTTCTTGCCACTTGTTCTTAAGAGAATGACTGCAGCTGTTACTTTAGTAGCATGGTTGTTAAGTGAATCTGGCTTCCCCACTGATTTTGCTTGTCAGAAGGTTGCAAAAGATGATCACAATGACCCCAGGACATGGCAATTGCCATAAATACATGCCAGTCGTCAAGTGTTCAGATTTTGATCACCTGACTGT